GACCAATTAGCCCTAGCAGAGAGTGGCCTCCTGACCCTTGACCCCTGCTGGGTAGTCCTATCCATTAACCCCTTGGGCCTCAGCTGGAGTTGATGTAGTATCCTTTCTTCTGGTTCTGCTAAACACACGGCCACATTCACCCTACAGCTTCCACTTTCTGTCTCTTCGCCCCTTGCCTCTATTCCCCGGGTGTCAGCTCGCTCCTTGTGTTGACCTCTCAAGTCCTCGACTGCGCTGACTCTGTTGGTCCATCATCACCCTATAGCAGCAGCAGAGTTATACTCTCTAACAGAGCATGTTCTACACAGAATCTCCCATGGTGCCCATGGTGTTGTTGTTGTGGTGGCAGCCCGGCTGACGGTGAGTGTCCTGGTTTTTCTCCTATTTATCAGTTATTCTGCTTTTTCCTTGGTTTTCTGTTCCCTGCCTGCCTCCCTGTGTTTTCTCCCCTGTGTGTGCTCTCTCTCTCCCTCTGCTCCTGAGCCCAGCCAACGACCCGCACCTGCACCTCATCAGCCACCTCGTCAGCCTGCAACACCTGCCAGTAGTCAACCTCATCCCTGCCTGTATTTCAACCCCGGTTCTCCACACCACTCTTGCTTGATCGTCGTTGCTCCATACCCGGTGCCACCTCCACGTTCAGGCTTTCTTGTTTCCTCACATTTTCCCCGTGCTTTGTCTGTTTCCCTCCCATGTTCACTCACCCTCGTCCTCCGTTCAGTCGGCTGGGCTCATCCACCGGTCCTCTCCTCCTTGGACTTCCCCCACGGCGTCCTCCCTGTTCTCCCTCGCCTCCTCGCTTCCTTGCTTCCTCGGCCCCAGTGTTCCCCGGCTCCCTGGTCCCAGTCTCCACGGTTCCCCTTGCCTGTGTTTCCCCGGCATCCACCTCTCCCTCCACTCCAGTCCCTCTACCCCTTTTTCCCTCAATAAACCTCCTTCCCTCCGAACGTTGCATTTGGGTCCTCTCTGTCCCCACACCACACGTAAAAAAAGTTGTCTTCTTCTGCTTATTTAACTTTTAAACATCCTGTGATTCACTGAGCTTGCTTGTCAGTTTTATTGACTGATTCTGTCTGTTCCCAGTATTTTGTGTCTAACTGTTAAGAGTATGTTTGCCGTAGAAGAGAAGGTATGTTCAGCCATCATATCATGAATAAATAAAGGTTAAATCAATACATTTTGCTTACAAATTGAGCTTTATTAGCTTGATTTCAAGACAATGGAGAGTGATGAGTGTTTACAGTTGTACAAATGAGGACATTGTGTCTATTAGTCGATGAAGTTTACTGATTATAAAATTACCTTCATGAACTATAATTATGCTTTCTATGGATTACTGTGTAATACTTTTATTTATACTCATAATTCGTTAGTGTACGTATCATAAAGAACACAAAGTAATCAGACATTAGAGGACACAGTGTACATGCTAATGGAAACAAAGTGAAGAAAGTGATATTGCTAACATTATTATGTTGTATGTGTACTGTATATAGTTAGACTGAGACTTGACTGGTCAACACTGAATTTGCATGAATATGATGTATGCATATTTTATCAATACTATGAGGAGTACCTAGCAAGCCCTTGTGATTTTATTAGTAGTAGCAGTAGTATTAGTTGTAGTAGCATTAGTAGTAGTAGTAGCACTGTAGAAAAATGAAACAATCGGTCAATCAGTCTGAAACTCCACCAGAAAGATATAATTTAAACCACCTGTAAGAAGAATCATCACAACTCACCAAAAGCATCTTACTTAGCAAAATGTACAGTATTAAAAGCAGTGTATTGAACAGCACAACGTTGCTTTTTATCAATCTAACAATATCATTCAAAACAGCAATGGCTGTATATGACCAGGTTTACAGACTGACTGCTAAAGGACATTATTTTTTCTATAAAGGCACGCAACGCAGTTAAATCCATGAGTCTAAGATTTTAGGCCAAAAGGACACTTTACATATGGACTGATGAAACTTTTGTGCAATGGAATCACTTGTGCTGCTTTCCATATCATCATGCAAAATGAGTGTGAATGTATGTACAGCAGATTTAATAACTTAATACATTCTGGGTGAAGGGATAAACATCAAATTTTTCCTGAAGACGTCATTTTCCCAGATGAACTGTGATACACAGCCAAAGTCGGGCGCATCAGCCATGACCTTCCCTGTTACGCTCCGCTGCCTGGGAGTCACGCTGGTCCTCACGAGAGGTTAAGGGAGAGTCGATGATCCTCTGTTCCCTGGAAGTTTTGCGCTTTGATCAGCTGAACCAGACAGCTATGGAGGAGGTGGCGATTATCTTGTAAAACTGAATCAATGTAGTGTCCTGAACACTGAAGTTCATGAAAGATGATAGCTGCCCAGCAGTCTTCTGTGAGTAGTTAGTAGTTTGTGAACAATAAACTCCTTACAGCTGTTGCATGTTTGAAGTTAGAAGTGATTATTTACAAACAAGATGCAGATTTTGTTGGACAACAAGAAATTAGTTTTTACCTGTAGTTTAGTTGTCAAAAATATTCCCAAACTTTCCAAAACTATTATAATACATGAATTAACAGTGTGTAATGTCGTATTTAATTGTGTTAATCCATTTTATTCCTTAAATAAATAAATTAATTAATTAATGGTGAAAAGCATGAAGCTATAAAGTTCTTTATCATTCCGAAAACATTACTTTTCCCAGAAATTCATTGCCTGAGGGGTTCATACCAAAAAGTTTGTACATACATTCTGTTTGTGTTATAAACACATAGGGTAAAATACAAATTGAGATGGACATCAGCTCCATAATATGCCACTCTGAAAGTTGATAATGTGCATATGTAAGTTCATTACATATGCACATTATCAACTTACAAGTCAGACGGATGATATGATAAAAGAAAATGTTGATTAAATTTCATACAAAGTTAGCAGTAAGCTGAAAGGTCAAAACAAAATTAATCAATCAATCATCATCAGACCATCAAAAACGTCTTGCTAGTGTTTCTTGATTAAGCTTATCCCTCAAATAACAAGACTCACAATGAATCTCTTTGGGCAAATGAAGTCTAACCAATACAATAAGCCTTTTGTTACTAATTGGTCAGTAAATATAAACTGTGTTTGCAGCAAAATTCTTTAGCGCATTTCTAACAGTTGTCCAGGAACCTGCTAATGAATCAAGTTTGCATTCAAACACTAATTCATAGCTGAATTTAATGTCGTTTTGAGAGCTTAGTGTTGTATTTCAAACTCTAAGAGATGCTAATGAGCCTCCCAGTATTTCAGTTTCTTTTAGAGAAAAGAGTAAAGGAGATGTAGTCAGATCTTTAGAGGCTTCCTGGGTCTTGAAATCAAAGGCCTCATTGAAAACCAAATAGAGCAACATCAGTGGATTACATGGCTTCCCTCAGCAGGGCTCCATGATGGAGGGTGCAGGTCAACAGAGGGATAGAAGGCAGAGTTAAGGCCTTGCCAAGTAATGTATATCACAATCCTGTTTAAAGTGGTTTATCATACAATTATACTATGATGTTGTTTTAACATGATGCAAACTTTTAAAACTGGTGTCTTTGAAGCGTCTATTATCGAAATCCTTCATATTAACAATGTATCAAATGTCTAATGTGATGTTGACGGGTTGTCTAGTGATGAGCTCCCTTTGTTTTTATGGAGCTTTGTAGCGGGTTTCAGTTCATTGTTTAGCTGTCCAGCTCACAACTTTACTGTTTTGTTTCACTTTCACTACTCTCATAGCGTCATTTTTTGGCCGCAGCAGGAAGCTGTTTTCAGTGACAAAGCTCTAAAAAACCCGTTGCGCACAACCTGCTCAGCACCAAACAGCAGACACAGTTGGGGACTAGATGGTGAACATAGTGGAGTATTTAGCAGCTGAAGAGCCAGTTATTTCCTTCATCAGTTGGTGGAGACCAAAAACAGAGCTTAAAAGAGAGTGAATATTGGGCTTAGATTCATCAGGAGGCCAGAACATGACTCCAAATTAATGTTAATGTTTCTTTAGTATCTGCTGGATGTGTAAATAAGCAATATTTGCTAAGTTCAACTTAAAAGGTATTAATATGTCACTGTTGTGTTTACAGTTTGTTTCTGCTGCCACCAATCAAAGAATGCAGGTTTAATTGTAGTGAGATCTTGTTATGACGGATCAGAACAGGCCTAAGAGTCTTCAAAATGACTATATCACACTTCAAACGCAAGAATTTATCAAATTTCTAGATGCTGTGTTTTCAAATATGACTCCTCAAATGCCTTCACCAAACTTAGAACCTGGTTTGATAATTCAGTTTAAACATTGTTAAAGTGAATTGATGGACCTTTTGCATTTCCTATAATTTTGAAAGAAATCTCTCTCATCCTCATATACAGATTTAAATATTTAGAGATGTTATAAAACATTCTTCTATAATGTGAAACACAAAGTTCAACTGTGTGTATAACTATGTAATACTTGTATGTATACAAGGTATTGACTTCATATAAATATGGCCTGTATCTTGATTTAAAACCCAGATGAACCTGTGTTTCTTGTTATTACAAAAAATATAATGACAACTCTATTTTTTACAGTGGGCTCTATGTCAGTATCAGATAAAGGCTGAAATGAATTATGCTGTCAACATGTCGGGTTCAATGAACTTGTTGCTTGAAATGTAAAGTGCACTTTAGATCTATGAACTTCAAAGAGGCTGTGCTTATCACACAGCAACACTACACCACACTTTGTAGAGGCTATAAACGGACCTCATGCACTGAGCTGCTCCTTCTTCCTACTTGCAAGTACCTTGCAGTGGTGGAATGTAACTCAGGTACTGTAAATACACATTTTGGGAACTTATTAGTATTTTACTTGATTGAATTCCATTTCATGTTACTTTATACCGCTACTCCACTAAATTTCAGGGGGAAATATTGTACTTGTTACTTCACTACATTTATTTTACAGCTCTTAGTTACATCTTACTGTGTAGATTAAAATTTTACACAAACATAATGTGCAATATATATAATAGAATGTTTAATATGATTAGAAAATATGAAAACATTCTTATAAATGTATTATTAAACATCCCAAAAGTATATCACATAGTTCAACTGAGCTACATCTTAATAAACTACAAAATAAGTGCTGTTTACATGAGTAATAACAATAGAGCAAAAAAGAACAAATTTGGAAAGGGGCATAATGAATACTTTTGATACTTTAAATAAATCTTTGCTGCTAATATGTCTGAACTTTTTGCAAAAGTTTGAACTTTTAATTAAGTATCTTTAAATTGCAGTTTTGCTATTTGTAAGGATCTATATCACAAAATAACCAAAACCATGTATTCATTTTGGAAAAAAAAACTTTTACTTGAAATATCAACATTTTCTCAGAAAGTATAAATAATGATTTATGATTGATTTAAATTTTATACAAAAATAATACATTAGGAGGGGGGAAAATCATGTCCTGCCACACAAGTACGAGTGCCTTCTGATCAGATGGCAGCAGATGTGGCTATAACAGTCACAAACCAACCAACATAATAATAACAATGTAATGACCTAATATTGAACAGGAGACTGGATCTGCCACACTTATGATATGCAGGGTTATCATATATCATACAATCATAATACATGAAAATGCCTTTTTGTCTCATAAAAACAGGGGAAGTTTTAGTAAAAAGTGAAAGTTTGCTTTGCTTTCTGTCTGAACACACCTTGATAGTGTTCGCGGGGGCGTCTGTGCCCACAGCAGCTGCTCCTCTCCCCTACATTTCTCACTCTCTGTGGATTCCTGTATGATTAGAGCAGCTGCTGTCACAACATTGTCCTCTTTCATGTCTCTCTCCTTCGCAATATACCAGACTGAAAAGGACTGTTGTGTTTCTAAATACTTGTCAATATTTTCAATCTACCGCGGGGGGTCCTGCGCCATGACGAGGAGTTATTAACAATATTTGTCCTATTTCGGCATCACTTCACGTTGCAGGAGGAAGTGGGAGAGGGAGGGGGAGAGCGCTCCCATTCCTGAAATTCACCTGAACCTGTGTGCAAACAACACGCAGGGGATGGGCCACATTTAAAGTGTGTGAGTCAGCCCCCCACCCCCAAGATAACTATTGAGACATATTATATACCTCAGTGTACCTACACTCAACTGCATTCTTATTCTTTGGCATATTAGTCATGCATATATCCAACTGCTTTTGTGTTATTTTACAGGCAGGTCCAGAATATAATAATTGTTGGCGACTTAACTGATGCATATTGTGTACACCCTGTGCATATTCATTTCCAGTCTCAAGTGTGTGGAGTTCTGTGCAGAATCCAGTTATACAAAGCATTGCATACACCTATAGACACATTGCATAGTCCTTTCAAGATTGTCAAAGTCTTTTCAATCACAGTATACACGTTGAACAACTTGAAATGATGAGCGACAGATAGGCCATTCATTGCCTGCACTAATGCTAGTACAGTAAACTGAGTGTGAAAAAATATCATGGAAGACGCCTTTAAATCCCAGAAAGAATGAAATGCATGCACAAGATCAGTACAGGTTATTGTGATTGTCACACAGTTCTGCTCACGTGCGGGGCGATTTGTGTAGCCGGTCAAAAGGCATCCAGGAATTTGCTGTGAGTGAATCGCCTTCGTTGAGTCTTTCAGCCTTCAGAGGCTGATTACTGTCTCTGTTAGTTTCAGCGTGTTATATTTCCACCTTAAATCACAGTTGTCCCAGGGCCTTCACTCAGGTCCACATAGTTTATAGCACTTTTTGTTCCTTTGTAATGTCAGAAAAGACGATGACTGTCTCTTGCTGTACATTTATGAAAAGGGGTGTAAAAAAAACCTCAATACTGTTTTCAAAGATTGTGTTAAAATCATACATCCTTGTTGATCATGTGTGTGCGAGCGAGGGGAATCCAGTCTCCTCACTTTCAGGTGCAGTGAGTTGCTTTTTATTTTGTTTTCCTCTGTCTGTCCCCATTTCTCATTTTCATCCGCCTGGGCCACCATCGTCACTCCTCTTGTTTGTTGACTGACTCATCATCCAGCACGCCGTTGCCGGTTATTAAGAATCGTCATGGTTACCGGGGTGAGAGGGTGGAAAAATGTGCTCCGGTTGCCGGGCACCGAGGAAGTCAGGTGGACGCTCTCACCAAGCTTGAAGAGGACACTGAAAGGAAAAGGAGAGAAATGTCAGACAAAGTAGGCCTGCGTTACATAAAAAAATAAATACAATCTGTCCAGTAACACAGGTAGGCCTATATATATCATTATTTTCAAGGCTTCCCGAAAGTGGCCTGGCAAATTAAATCTATGTAAAGACCAATGGTGGAAAGTAACCAAGTACATTTAAATACAGTTTTCAGGTACTTACACTTTACTTGAGTTTTTCTATTTCTATTTCTATTTCTACTTTATACTTTTACTTCAGAGGTAGCTATTATACTTTTTCAGTCCACTACATTTATTTAACAGCTATAGTTACTAGATTACATATCATGAAATGTATTTTTATAGGTTAAACTACTATGTTATGAAAATGAACTCCACCTTGACTACAAAAAAAAATACATATATATATATATATATATAGTGTCACTTACATGATGATGCATCAATACTAAGGATTCAATAATATAACACTGACAGAATACATTTTACTCTTTTTGTTTCTAGTATTTCTACTTCAGTAAAATTATGGATGCGGGACTTTTACTTGTAATGGAGTATTTTTATAGTGTGGTATTTCTACTTTTACTCGAATGCTTCATCCACCACTTCTAAATACATTACCCCTGCACCTGCATGTGCCACACCTGACCAAATACATTTCTCATCCCTCTTCTCCTGAAAAGCCTTGTTTCTATTGAAACGCTCTGTTTTTTTGGGGATTGTTTGTGGAATTTATTTTTCTCCTGTCTCTCCAGGGGTGGATGCAGGTGACCCCGGTGTGACCCTGCGGCCAGCAAACAGCTTCACCTGATAAAGGTGACCTGCAGCTAAGACTTGAGTCATTAGACACCAGGCTCTGAGCCGAGGGGAGTTTTAAACAGACTCAGGTATAATGGAGGGTTCTTGGTAAACAATGATGTTATAAAGCCTCTGCATGCTGGTCGTGTCGTGAGAAGAAGGCTGCCCCGTCCAAATAAAGTCCTGATAAGGAAATACCTGGGAGAGCCTGCTAGCTAATTGCTCTCTAAATAAATGGGGTTGTGAAATGCCACAGGGTGATGATGCCAGTGGTGGAAAGTGACCGTCAGTACTTTTATTCAGGTACTGTACTTAGGTACAATTTTGAGGTACTTGTGCTTTACTTGAATATTTCCATTTCATGCTACTTTATACTTGATACTTTTTTCCCCACTACATTTCAGAGGGAAAAAGTCTACTTTTTACTCTGCTACATTTATTCACAGATGTAGTGAGTAGTTACTTTGCAGATTAAAATATATATAAAAAAGAATATGCTTTTACTAATACAGTGTATTAGAGCTAATCCACTAATTCCACTTAATTGATAGCCGATCGAGATTTGTCAAGAAATTTGTCAAGCAGAAAATGTGATAGTTCCAGGTTCTCAAATGTCAAAATGCAAATTTGTTGCTTTTCCTTGTCTTACATTGTAGTAAATTGAATATTTAAGGGGTTTGGACTGTTGGTTTTTATTTGAAGAAGTCAACTTTGGCATTTTTCACAGTTGATGTTTTATAGATTAAACGATTAATCATTTAGTTGAAAAAATACTGGGCAGGTTTATTGTTAACAAAAATAATGGTCCGTTGCCAGCCTACGATACATTGTTAAAGTTTAAACTAACAGTTCCCAACTTTTTTTGGCTAGTGACGCCTTACAGAAAGCAGTCACATCAATGTTTAGATGAAAGAAATTTGGATATTTCATTACATTGATACTTAATTCCCAGTCCATCAAATACCAGAAACCACTCCATCTGTCTAATTCAGTTTAGTATTTAAGTATTTCTTAAGTAGGTTTCCATAAATATGGTGTTAATTTTTTATTATTAGTAGTAGTAGAAGTAGTATTAGTAGTAGTATTCATATTATTATTTTTCTTGGAATTATGACTAAAATATCAAACGTATAAGGTGTTTCACACACAAACAATGGTGTGTGTATATTCATCATGTTTGTAATCAAAACACTTAAATCTGTTTAAAAAATACAGTCTCACTGAAAATTAAGAAGACATAATTGGTTAAAAACAATAATATTAGATTGAGCCAGCCAAATTCAGAAATCAAATTAAAAAATTCTATTATGTGAAGATTCATTCTAAAGTATTTTTAGTTTGTGGTTTTGGTACCTTTAAGACTTCTTTCACCACTGGGTCATATCACAACATGTACCTTAATGGTTTTTACAAATGTGTATCAACACGGCGGACAAAATGTGCCTATTTCACAGCCTGAGAGAGATTTGTTTTACGTCCTTCCTCCACAGAGGACACACGGTGCTCTGAGCTATTGTCCCATCAACCCATCAGTCTGTCAGTAGCAGCGCGGTGGTACAAGTACTCTTCCTCAGCGTGGGAAATTGAGCGTGTGAAAGCACCGTGGACAACATTTCAGGCTAGAGCGATCACCGAGAGCAGGGAGAAGTAGGAAAGAGGAAGATGTGTAATTACCCCCCCTCCCCTCCAAAAAAACCTCCAGCCCTTCTCATCTCCAGCCTCACTGTAGCATGGAGGAAAGTAGCAGGACACAAGGCTGGAGAACTTTGATTAAGAACAGGCTCATTTCCTGATTGCAGAGGTAACTCTCACCAGGGAAAGTGAAAGGAGGCAGCATTAATCAAGAAGCGTTCAGGCTGAGGGAACAGGTGATTGATTAGATGGCAGTTAAAGAGGAAATAAGAATTCTTAGGAGTATGCTCTCCATATATCTGTCTCATCTATTAGTTTGGAGTCAAATGAAAGCATTTGAACATCAGCAGCAGCCCCAACAAAAGCTCTGAAAATTAACAGAACTTAAATGGAAAATTTTGGTGATTTTACTCATTTAAACTGTGTGACTGAACTGATGAAATTGTATTTACCCAGGAAAGACCCCCGAGTTGCACCATCTTGTTTACAGGAGCATCCTAATGTGACAGGAATTAAACAGGTCAACACACAATCAATAACACACTTCAAAATGTGGTTCCTGCTATAAGTGTGTGCTTCGATTGTCTTGTTTCTCTTGATCAGAACAGGGTGAGGGTGATTTTTGTTTATCAGTAAGTAATGAGTGAGCTGATCAGAGAGTTACAGTACTTTTCAAAAGAGAGATTTGATCAAAAGAGAGTACTATCTGTTACAACATGTAGGAATTACTGTAACAAAAACTGCAATAACATATCAAATTTATTGCTGATTCTCATACAAATGCCCCCGTACTGACTGACAGACATTGACTTTTTAAATCTAAAACAGGCAAGGCAGACAGGTGAGAACATGCATCTAATTGTTGCCTCTGTGATGTGATATGATGTGAGCTAAAGACTGACCGTCTTGCTGGAGGACATGGAGCTGAGTGTGCCGATGCTGTTGGAGTCTGTGACCACCATGGCCGAGGGGAAACGTGATGGGTGGGAATATTGCGGGGGCTCTTGCTTGTGAGAATACACTGCAAAGGAAATTCAGACAGATCATTAGATTTCTTGTGATATACTGGTTTGGTTTAACCATTTCAGACCTCTAAAATTATTGAAATTTATAAAAGAAAAATCACTTTGACACAACTAGGTCATGAACACAACTGTTCATGACCTAATAGACATATTAAACCCATGATGCGGGGGTACAGGGTAAGGGTAAAGCATAGGCCGTAGCTTTTAAAGCGACACAAGCTGATGTAACTGGTTTACAAAACATACAAAAGGCTGGTGCAAAAAGAAGACAAGAGTAGAACTGAGTGTTACTGACTGTGCGAGTGTGTGACAGTAGCCATGAACGGCTGCTGGCTCATGTGGCTGGGGGACTGCTGCATCAGGCTCTGCTGGTGGGGGCTGTGGAGCTGTTGGGAAAACTGCACCGGCTGCAGCGCCGCAAGGCTGCCTGCCACGCTGTTGATCACTGGCACCGTCTGAGATTGCGATGTGTTTAAACCTAGTAAGATGCAACAAAACCTCAGTCAAACCATGTCATGATAAAATAAATTGAGTGACTTTCCCTTCTTTTCTGTGATGGTCACACGAAGGGACGGAGGACTCACTCTGTGCTATGGCCATGACCCCAGATAGAGGCATGATGAGGTTCTGAGTCTGCTGATGGCTATGATGGGAACTGTGGATGTTGGTCAGAGTGCTGACTGGTGGAAGTCCTCCACCTGAACCTGAAATCTGGAGAAAGATGAAGGAAATAAATAAATTTACAGCACCCTTTTATTGCTGTAAGATTTGTTACATCACACTACAACACTGAAATTTATGAGAGCTTGATGTGTAAATTCACATTAAATGTATTTTCAAAGTGGAACACATGTTGTCTGCTAAACAAACAACAGATATAAATGTTAGTTCAGACTCTTTTATAACTCTACGCTTGTGTAACTCACATACACAACACACAAGCAAATACTGATAAGAAACAAAAGGTGAAGAAAAAATCATACTAAAAATGTCAGCATAGTTTGTCACGTCGGTTTATCAAATGCTTTAAAAACAACTGTACAAAACAACAGCTATGCATTTATAGTAATGACTATCAAGATCGTGAACCTCCCACTCAGTGGGGCTGCGTCTGTTTGACTACTGCTAGCTACCCACAAAGGACAGACCCACAGTTGCAAATAAGAAACTGTCAGGTCTGACCTACTGCACACTACGCTGCCTGCCCTCGCTGTGGTCATTTTACATAATGCAGAAGTATGTTGATCCGACAGGGAAGTTAGTGAACAGTTACTACGTTATGGGACACTGAAGTGGTTTAAATGATTGAATTTTGTGTTGTATGGGCATTTAATTGTGGTCCAAAGAATTTTATATCTGAAGTATTGTTGCACAACCACTCAAATGCAATGGGTCCGTGCACAGATTTCCTTGTCACTGATCAAATATTGGACTAGGGCAGAAGGAAGAAACTCTGAAGTAGACAAAAAAACACATTGGGTATAATCAAATGCTGGCGTCATTATGTTGGCAGAACAAGCAGCTCTCCACATGTGGAGCCACTTTGCGAGGCATTTAATCAATAAGAACAGAATGTTTCTTTGTCAGGTTTATTGGCTGAGCGATGAACATACCTGGTGCACTCTGGTGAAGGCTACGAGCTAGTCCAGCTATGGACTGCAACCCCAGGCTCCACCTTTCAAACAGAGCTGCACAGTGCGCGAATTGTTGGTTCTTACCAGTGGGTCCATGTAAGGGGAGGTTTAAGAACCTGCTTTGTACGTTCATGCTAAACGTTGGCCAGGTCTTATCTAATCTGAGGCCATGAGGGCCCAGGTGTGTTCACTCACCATCTTGGCATCAGGTGACAGCAGACTGTGGCTGTGGTCCAATCCTCCCGGAGACACCTGCTGGAGCACCGACTGGCTGGTCGACATCCCGTTGCTACTGTGGTGACTGATGGTCGTGGAGGAGGTGACCTCACCGGGGCCTTGGCTGTAACGCACTGATAGAGACAGAGATAAACAGTTAGTTTCACTTGTGTTGGCTCTCAACTGCTGCGTCCTACAACTATAACAGTTAAATAGGGCAGAGATAGTAGCGGCCTCATTCTGCGCTGGGCAACACTGCTGTCACTCCAACCAACCAGACTCACCTGCTCTTTGACTCAAAAAGGGAGGACAGAGCAAACAAACACACTGACCCCTCCACTGCTGCTATCTGTGTAGCTCAGCCAAGGCCATTCCTGTGTACATGCACTCACTACAGCAAATCTCCCATCAGACTCTGATCAGCCCACAAATGTTACTGATGATGTTCGTAATTACGCCAGTGTGAAGTTTCACCAGTGGTAAAGGAAGTATTCTGATCCTTTAGTACATAAAAGTAGCTTCCAATCAGCAATGCAAACATCAGAGCCCTGCATTCAAATTCCTACTTAAACTTAGTAAATTATCAATGTTTAAGTAGCATTTTACTGTTTAAGTTTATGTACAGTTTAGTAATTTAGATAAATCCGAGGCGTTGTGAGATGATTAATGTGGTAGGATTTTTAAAAAAGAAATTGATATCTTATATTTGTTTCTTTTCTCTAATCTTTGTTGTTTTTTGTAAAGTATTGGATAATTGTGTCTCTTTCGGCCTAAATGAAACCATCTGAGAAGTGTATTTCATATTTAAATTTATGTTTTTTATAGGGATGCACCAAATGTTCGACCACCGTAATTAATAGCACAAAAAAGCACTTTCGGTGGTCGGCCTTATAAGTCAAAACACTGAACAAATTTTACCGAACACCTACATTTTGACATATCAGCAGTGTGGAAGCATTTTCAAGTATCAGAGAAAGACGCAAAAATCGCCGTTTGCAGACACTGTTCTGCTGAATTGTCTCCTAGCACAGTGGTTCTCAAACTTTTTCACGTGAAGAACCCCTAAACTAACACAAATTAGACCATGGACTCCCATTTGATAAGATTTTGTCCCAGGATCGCCCATCTGATCGGATTTTATTCCAATAAGTGTATGAAATCCATGACCAAAATAGTCATACATTCAGTCATTATTTTACTTATGGATGGAATTATAGTAAAAATAAATGATTCCCCTTTTTGCTGATGACCCCCTGGAAACCCCTCAAGGACCCCTGGGGGTCCCCGGACCCCACTTTGAGCTCACTTCTTTGAAAAGGTAACAAACGGTCTAACCCGCTTATAATGTTTCTGTCACTCATTTGTGAGAAGGCAATTAAGCTAGCCACACCTAAATTTGGAGTGCACAAGTATTAAAGCCTTTATTGTAAATCCACTGAAACCGACCAGTGCGAGCTGACAGGCAGGTTAGCGACTTTATCCTTTCATTTTCTCTCTTTACAAAAACAAGTGTTGCAGTATGAGAGTCCTACCTAAATGGAGGCTATGAAGTCTTCATGTTACGCCATACGAGAACCACACAACATTATTTATCAAATTGGGCCAGACTTGATGAATTTAGCACAAGGATACACATTTGACAACGTCAAGTTTTCAAAATAATGTGTCAATACAGTATAGAAATAAGATTAATTGGATTATATTTACAAAAAGTATAAAACATATTACATGTGTACATTAAAAGTAAATGGGCACATGTAATTTACTTTACCGGACCCTCTCAGGCCTCGGACTCACCCACCATAGTCTCTTCAAATCCTGTGGAAAACACTGAGTAAAAAGCACTTTGTGAACGTACTTGTTTGGTGGACATTTATATCTGACATGTAGGGGAGTAGAAGTATAAAGTGGTAGAAGATGTAAAATACAAGTTCCTAAAAATCTGACTCAAGTACAGTGCTTGAGTAAATGTACTTAGTTGCTTTTCTTCTAATGATATTTTCACATATCCACAGTAAAGTTCTAATGAAAATTCTTGTAGTGCCATCACTTAATCACGTGTCTAGACTTCTTCTTGTCTCTCACAGGCCTAAAGGAATGCTTCACTCCACCACAGCCGACAATCAAATGCCTGTTTGCCGATGTAGGCCCCCTCTGATACCAACAGAGTAAACATTACACAATTACAAACAATGTCAAACACATTCTTATCCTGTGGTCTCAACCACACACAGACACAGAGAGCGTCTCTCCCTCAGTGACAGCGTAGAGACAGACTCTGTTTGCACTCAGATCTCCCATCTTCCCCGAGCCCTCGTCCCTGACCCAGGTGTGACAGCGCTGAAAGCCCCACCTAAGCCGGTCAGACATGACAGGAAGCATTGATATACAACCATTTTGAGATAAAAGAGGGAGAAGCACTGACACTAAATGTGACCAATGAGAGAGGGCATTGATTTCTTGTCGCTGCTGGGAACTGGAACAGGATGCATTTGCAGATCTGAAAATTTGCTGCAGGTATCAAGGAAAACATATAGGCTAAATCATTTTGATCACTATCTTCCTTTAAGTTGCAGTATGTGTACAGAATTATGGTTATATACTGTATATAACTGAAGTCATCGTTAGCTGGATTTTGTTACCTTTGGGCAGAGCCAGGCTTCTTGTTTCCTGTCTTTATATTAAGGTTTCCGTCTGCTGGCTATAGCTTCATATTTAAAGCAATGACAAATGTGCTCATTTGCTTTCTCACGAGAGTTAGATAGGAATATAATTAGTGAGCTTAAGATGTGCTGTTGATTTGTTTTCATCATTGGACAGAGCCAGGCTAGATGTTTCCCCCTGTTTCTAGACTTTATAAGCTAAGCTAACTGTCTTCATATTCAGCGTACAGACATGAGAATCAATCTTCTCATCTATTTCTCAAAATGAGGTGCTGGAATGGATTTTTTTTAAGCTTTGGACAGTGCCAGGCTAGCTGTTTCTCCCAGCGTCAAGTCTTTAAGCTAAGCTAAGCTACCTGTCTTTAGTCTCCAGCTTCACATTTAACGGACAGACATCAGAGTGGTAACAATCTTCTCATCTAACTCTCAGGCAGAAAGCAAGCAAGCCTTTTCCCCATAATGTTGAACTAGTACTTCAACTACAGCTAGCCTACTTAAACTACAAATGCTGCAATGTCTGAAGCAAAGCCACAGCACCATGTTTCATCCTCTAAAGTACCTGTCCTCCATATTGTTCAGCCCACAGACTTCATATTGTCTTCTACAACATAGTGGCAACCCCACAACACTCCACTGTGCCTTGTAAACAGTGCCGCAGAACAATAAAGAACTCCATTGGACTCATGACCCCCATTGCCGCACAATAGAGGAGGACTCATAAAAAGGCAGTTATGTCTGTGCTGAGCGACCTCTTAAAGTGTCAGAGGGAGAAAAGGATGCTATTCAGGCCAGTTTTGTTCCTTTGGGTTGGGCAGTAATTCTAGCTGCAGGGAACCTCAGCAGAGGACTTCCACGACCTAAACTAAGAGACTTTGGTTTCTATAAAGCTAGTGATACAAGGAGGTTTTCTAGAGAGACAACTAGAGTCGAGAGATGGCTTCTACCATTGCACTGAGATCATTTTATTTGGAGATTCTGTAAAACTAAAACTTTGCTCTGTAATGATGGGACAATTCATGAAACACTGAGAAGTCCTTTTCGAGAGCAGGGGGAGGGCGAGAACTTTAGAGGGGAGTGGTAGCAAGGATCTTCAGCAGGTTTAAAAGGCTCTAGCTCCCTGTGTGACCCATGTAATATCAAAGACTGCCTCCCCAACCCCAGGCAGTGCTCATTGTAGTGCTACTGCATATAACAGACCTCCTGGGTCTCTGCAGGACGTATCCAGTCTCTTCTTTGTGGCTCTCTGGGAGACACAGAGCAGTGGAACGTGCAGAGCTGGGCCATCCTTTCTGTGTGTGTGTGTGTGTGTGTGTGTGTGTGTGTGTGTGTGTGTGTCAAGCTAGCCTGAGGTGACAATGTAATCCATGGAGAATCCCCCCAACCACTGTATCTGATCTGGAACTTCTGAGTCGACTAGTTTTGTAACGTGCAGAATGATGCAGCTCAGCTTACACAGCAATGATTCAATTTCTGCCAAGTTGCCAGTGGTGGACAAAGAATTCAGGTTGTCTACTTAAGTAAAAGTACCAATAATCTCATGCAGAAAAATGCCCCCCCCCCCCCAAAAGGGGAGGAAGGAGGAAAGAGAAAAAATAAAGTTCTGCTACACGAATGTGTATTCATTTTAGGACTTTTCCACAATCTATGCGTGAAGTTTTAGCTCTTTGGGCCTTGAAACCATCTAAGAAGTTTAGAGGAGAAAGTTCTCTTTGGTGGAAAGGCTAACAACTCATAGACATCTGAAAATGACCAAGGAACCCCAGCCAGATGGTGATTTTTGCAAGCAAAATTATTTTGAACCACTGGTTTAATTCAATGTATTCTGTAAGATTATCATATGTTTTTTTATGTAAAATCTTAATGTGAAAAGGCTTCAGTTGTTCAGTATACAGTAACATACAATGGAAATACTCAATTAAAGTGCAAGTGCCTCAATATTGTATTAAAATACGGTACTTTGGTAAATGTACTTATAAGTACTTACCAAATAACTTTTCCTTTAAATTATTTTTGCACTAAAAAATCAAACTTTTGTAAACATACAGTTGAAAATAATTATCTTATCGGCATATTTATGAAATTAACTAACTATGATTAATGTGTCAAAGTAAAATGCTGTAAATAAGTTTCGTTATTACTGGATGAACAGTAGGTAGATATTGCATATGAAAACCCAGGTGCGTGGTCACACAGGTCTGTTAACAAACTATGTGATCAGTTTCATTTCTGAAAGTAAAAAAAAGGTCACTTCCAAAACCGCATGTCACACTGTTTGACTGTCTATCCACTTGTGACCAACTGGCTCAACGAACCAAAGCAGAATCAATAAAAACCCAAAGTAAGAGGAGTTTCTTTCATCTGACCCAGTAGTGACCTTTTTCATATGACTGAAGGTGTGGCAGAGGTTTAAGGAGGGGGTGGAGGGGCGACAAGCTTTCTCTATAGGCGAAGAAGGGGTCATCAGTCCTGTCTGGCCAGAAAAGAGCCAATACCCTAGTGGACAGCTCCTGCTGCTCCCAGTCTGCACCCAGCCTCAGCAACTATACTAATGCCCATAAAGGTGATGGGGGAGGCTTTAAAATCGGTCCTCCTCAAGGCCCAGCAGAGATAAATGAACCTAGGTTACAGTCACTGCAGTCTTCTAATACACCACAGACAATGGGACCTCCTGCTGAAGTAGAGTATAGAGAGCAGAAGTCAGAGGAGCCCCTTATCAAAGGCCTGGGAGATGTAGTAGTAAAGGATTTTAATTGTCCATTAAGCATGCATAATACAGGCCGTGCCCTAGCAACGCAATGAGACGCCCCGCTGGGATATTATTGTCAGACCAGGGGCTGACACTGAAAAACAGCTGATGCTGTCGGCAGGATACCAGCAGGACACCTTGTAAGCAGCCAGCTGAGGGTTTTTTTTCAGGGGGAGCAAAGATCTTTCCACCATGCACCAACCCTTCCCTTCTGCAACCTTATTGGTGACCCCTCTGGATTTGCAACCTGAGGTCAATGCCTGGTCAGGTGTTCTGAGCAACAAAACAAAACAAAAAAAAAATGAAGCAAACAAACGATCCACAAGTGGGACCACTTTATCCAAAGGTAAAAGAGCAAGCCAAGGTAAACAGTTTGTTTTCCCTTCAAAGCTCGCCTCGTGTTCGAACACGAGAGGGTAACAATAGGCTCTGAGTGAGTCTCTCAAATCACAGTTTTATGGAGGGTGAGTGATGGCATGAAGGATAACACTCTGTGAGGCCTATCAGCTTTGTTTTTACATGGTATACACCAGGTAGACTCAGTCAATACTAATTACTCCAAATGCAAACATCAGGTCAGGGTGAAATGGTCAGAGCAATAACGCACAGCATTTCCTTGTTTTGGCAATTCTCTGAACGGAGTCATTAGCAACCTGCATGGGAGGTGGAAATGTGGAAATGACAGCGTTATGTCGAGGTAACCTGAATGTGTCTGTCCCCCCTCTCTGACCCTGGCCTGACCCTGGCCTGTCACAGGATTGCTGCCCTTTGTGTCATGCTTCTCCATGCTGACTTTGGAGTGGAGATTGCAGGTACAATGTGGATTGTTCTCAGTGTGTTTTCAAAGATCAGAATAACAATGGCATTTGCTCAGCTCACTCACTCACTCTCATTGATCGCTTGTACCCTCTTTCTCTGCCTCTCTGATCACATCAACTGTGCTTCTAACCTTTTCTGACAGCATTTTCACACCAAAGAAAACTAAATCATGGACTTGTTTGCACTATTATGTAAACTTTAGAAATAAACACCTTAAATGTTCTCTGTAAACTGATGTAAGCACATATTTTCATGGGTACTCTCATTACTGTCATGTGGATTTTTTCAACTAAGCAATGAATCCGCACACATAACATTTGAAGGGGAACTCCACCATTTTTACACATCAAAGTCTGTTTACAGGTCTTGGGTATCTTACTTGGAGGCGAAGCGCTGGTCTGGGGATGATGTGGTGAACTGTGTGACAGCAGAGGGTTGAGGCTGTGGGGAGGTACAGTGATTGCATCCATGGCCAACTTCTGCCTGAAGGCTTCCTCTTTACGCCGGTTGGCAAACCAGTTGTAGACTCGCACTTCGGTGACCAGATTAGAGCCAAGGCCCTGAGCTTTGGAGGGGGAGACGCCCCTCTGAAGACACTCGGCTCTGCCAGAAACAGATGAAAAATTGAGGTTGATATAGTAATAATATTGTAATATTGTTGTGCATGTGCAGAAAGGAGTCATGTTTTTCTACCTGTTGCACTCTTCTACCAAAGCTTCCCGCTCCTCTTTGCTGGGGTTCTTCTGCCGTTCATAAGCCTGGTACAGGATTTGCTGAGACGCAGGCCCCCATTTGAAACGGTTACGTCTCATTTTCTTGCAGGAGGGTTCGCTGCCGACCTCGTCACCAGGCTGTCCCATGCCCTGACCAGACGGGTTGAACTCTGGGAAAAAAAATGCCGGATCCTGATTGCCTTTGTCTGTCATATTGGTGCCAGACCCTTGCACTGCCTGGTTGAACTCTGCAAAATACGAAGAGGTACATTCAATAAAAATGTTCAAAAACACAAAAGCAGAAGTTTATTAGACACATGATAATGGTATTTTCTATCCCTAAATAATATATATTTCATTTTGATGCATTATGACAACTTCAGTATATAACACAGGGCTTTGTGTCTGTATATGGCATCCAGCATGATGAGGAAATGTCCAGTCTAACTTGATATCCCTACAGGTTTGAAATCCAAATAAAGTGCCGTGCTGCTGCCAGCTACACATTACAGTCCGAGGCCAAGCTGTGAGAAACTCAAATATTAACTTACGTCGGAGAATTTCCCGCTGTTTCCTGACATACCAGGTGTAAAGGGCCGCTCGCTTCTGTGTTTTCATGGGCGTGCCTTTGTTGAGGTGCTGTGAGAGGTGAGACTGGTTCAGCCCTGTGACGTCCACCACCTCCCGTTGGGGGATGTTGTGCTGCTGCATGTAACCTTTGATCATGCGGGCAGCACGCCATGGATCCTCTCTGGGTAAAGATAAAAGACAGGAGCAGAAAACACCACTCATTTCACCACTGAACTACATGTAGCTTTCAGAGGGAAGTAATAAAGAGCAAAACCACCTTTACTCTATTTATGGCTGAAATAAAGTTGTTTGGTCTATGTCATGCTATAAAATCAACATAAATACATGAAGACATGGTTCATGTAAGGGGGAAGGTTTTGTTAGTTTTGTTAATATTTAAAGTTGTTTATTTATACCTACAACAAAATCACATGAACTTGTTCACTAGTCACTATTTTTCAAGGCCTCAAGTTTAAAGGGGCAGAAAGGATAATAAATTCCCTCACAGACAACCTGTTTATCATTGTTGCCTGTTCAAGAGGCTGTAAATATTTTCAAAGGTTAGTTCAAGTGGATATGGGCAGGTTGAGAAACTTGGACTTAGTAGCCTATTTGTTGCCTTGACTGACCTGATTTTAGCCTGGGAACAGTTAGATTAGGTTTGTGTGAGTTTAAAGCAACGATGCACAATGAAAATCTAAAGTAAAAGGACCAAAAGCTGGGTTACAAATCTTCACATATGTTGACAAATCTTCTGATAATTCTCGAGTAAGAAGATAGGCTATCTGTCAGATTTTCTAACAGTATTTAGAAAAACTAAAAACCTTGGCATCAGTATATGATGACACATATGCACAGATAGGCTTATATATGCTTATATAATTTTATAGGTTTGATTCCATTAAAATAAATACATTAGTCAGATATTTTTGATAATGAAAGGATAATTTGAGGTCAGTTTTACATGACGGTATAATAATATAGCCTATACTGTACACTTAAAGATAGGCCTATTAATCTAAAAGAAAGGCAAGGTTCAGTAAAAAAAAAAAGAAAAAAGAAAAAAAGAATTTCGTTTTTTTTTTTAAAGAAATTTACTTTGACCACATATACAAATTTAGCATTAAAAACTTAGCGTGTCCTTACCTGTAAAATTAGCGCTTCACATTATTCATTATAGGCTACGTCAAATGTTTCAGCAGTACGAAAGTGTAACAAAACATAGGCCCATAGTTCGAGGTAAAATGGAGCCCTACCCTCCAACGAGAGATTAGCAGGCCCAGACACACTGACATCGGTAATTATAGCAAATCTACACGCGTCTGTTTGTTTTGGAGAATGTGCATCTAAGTCTGCGGGTTAAGTGGGAGATGTTAGTTTATAACTTTTGACAATGAATAACCAGATCTCCATTCACTCTAATCACACGCCACTGTGTATCTTTCAGTTGATGATTTATAGAATAAAATTAATAATAACTTAACTACACGTGGGTAAGTTTTGATATTCTTCCGGTCCTGTTAGAGCCTCAAATATTAGTTTTACAATGGATCAAGTGGTTTGAGTGGAGATGATTAGAAACAAACGGATTTGAGGTGTAGTGTCAAATTAGGTCATGAAGGGTTTCACGCTCACAAAAAATAATAAAACTGTTACATTTTATTTTCAATGTAGGCTAAATCATTAAATTAAACTGTATGTTTAATACAATTATAATTAGTATATTAATAAACATTTTTTCATCTTTTACCCAACCAATAATAATTTTTTATACTATATCCCCAGCCAGTTGTTTCGATTCACTTTCTCCTCATGTAGGCTAGTCCCTTGCCGGATTTTTATCGGTTAGAGGAGGAGTAGCCTATAGTTAATAATAAATAGATCTTAGTTCAGCTGATATTTTGCAACGGTAAAGAAATAATAATCCATGTGAATAATTAGTGAATGTGAAAAACGAGCCGTGGCGGGGTTTTTTAAATTGTAAACAAAGATAGGGAAGGAACTTTTGGTTCATAAAGGTCCATTATTTCTAAATTTATGATCGATTCTCGAAGTTTTAAAAGGCCACAACTTAAAAATGAAGAGCATTTGGAGTGCGCTACAGGCTAATCCTGAGCGATTGATGTCACTTTCTCATTTCACCCCGGACACTGCCATTAAACTAGGCCTAGGCCTACATTTGATTTAGTTTTTACACGTTTGAAAAAAAGTCAGATTCCGTCGGAAAACTTACGCCAACATGCGCTCCACCTCCGCCCTCTGCTCGGCGGCCTCCTCGGTGTTGAGTGACTGGAGCTCCTTCAGTATCGGCGGGGTGTCGTAGTCGTCCCCGTCCTCGGAGCCCTCGTCCCCGGACAGCTTGCCCTTGCTGTGGCCGTTGGTGAGCGTGTGGAAGACGGGCTTCGATCGGAGTCCGCTCCGTTCATCTTGCCGCTCTGAGGAGGAGCGGGCGACATGGGCAGGCTCTCCAGTTTTACTCCAAAGCTCGGCGGGTTGGGGTCCATATCATCCAGGGCCTGGATCAGAACATCTTTGGTAACTCCTGAGTCCAGCAGGGCGCTGAGGAGCTCCTGCTGCAGGGATGTCAGCTTGGATACCATTTTAGAGAACATTAAAAGCACAACATAGGACTGCTGTTTGCGCGCTGCAGCAGAGTAAAAAAGGGAGGATGGGGGGGAATAATAAAAAAAAGTAAAAATAAAGTTCCTTTCTTCCTCACTGTTCCGGTGATGTGGTGAGTTTACAGCTGCTGACACCTGCTCCGAGAAGCTGCTTCACTTCCCTGTTGAAGGGGAGGATGGAGCTACTTTGCCATGATGCTTTCTGAGTGCAGAGGGATATAAAACATGATAATGAGTGGGCCGGCTGATTGCAGCCTTATGTAAATCCACAGAATAAGGCCTGCTCTGGGCCGAGGTAGACGTGTTTACACTGCTGCACTGCTGCTTTTATTGGTTCCCCTTATCAGCAAAACTTTCATGGACTTTGGACCCTGTTGTATATGCCATAAAGACTTTTAAGAAAGGCTGCACATATTCACATCGCTGGATCTAATTCTCTCAGTACTGCGAGTAGAAGCCATGCGTTGTCTATTTAGCCCATGTATTCATTCTACTTATTAAAGGACTTGATTTATTTTGATACAGGCTATTTAAGTGTTGTCATTATTACTTAATGGGATAATCATATAGGTGTAAATGAGGTGTTGTTGGGGGCCATTAATTCAGGTGTTTGTTCCCCTTAATGAAGCTGAAAAGTGCATTAGTTTTAGGCTAATATAGTATCACATTACCGGAAGAAATGTTTTATTTTTAAAAATACAGTAAGCAGATATTGTTTAAACTTTTTCTGAAAATGTTATTAATCTCTAGCAGTCTACTAAAAATCAACCGGACAACATCTTCGGAATTACTTTAATACAATGTGTTATTTATTTGACATGTTGTCACTACAGTATGTTAAAGGCTTATATGAAAATGTGGGGCAAAAACCCCTTTAACATTTTGAAACTGTCATAATTTTCTCTTATCTGCTCGCACTTACATGGCACAATATAGGCTAAACTTTAATTGCTAAATGCTATATAGTAAGAGAATGAGGTCATTAGGGATCACACTCAGTGTTGAGTTACCTTGTTTCCTTGTATAACTGTAGGTCTAGATAAAACAACAATGTGACTAAAAGTTCAAGCAAACTTAAATTGATTTTGTAAACTTTATTAAACATCATTTTGTGGAATACTAAATGTTTGTTACAGTAAATTCATACAAGAGTAGGCCTATTATAAAAGCCACCCAAAAATTTGGTCTACTTTCTGATGTTATGAAAAGTAAAATACCAGAATGTGTCACTTCCTTGGCAGGATTTTGCTGTTTTTCAGAGGTGGTTTAAGTTTCATGTGGAGCTGCTGGAGGATCCTAAATCTTAAATCTGCATAAGTGCTGGATTTCCTACAGTTGTTCATCCTTACTGGAGACTGATGTGTTGGCATGTAGCCTACCTATCAGCTGTACCTACAGAATGTCAAATGCTCTTCAGATTGACTGTGTTGCATCAACTTTCACTCTCAGTTAAATGTTGACATTTGAAATGAGTCTTATTGGTAAGAAATGCTACTTTCAAGACAAAACGACAAAAATATCTTCATTAGCTTTTTTTTAAAATTACAACTCACATTGTAATATTAACAAATAATATTAATTAACTGTTGAATTAGCCTGCATAAATAAGGCAAAAACATTATACACATTTATAGTCTGTAAAATTACATAAGATGACTCATATGCTTTCTGAGGGCTTTACACTTATAAATGCCTCACTATTAAAATTAAAATTCAAACATTTGTAGGATGGTGGATATCGTATTGATGTAATAAAAATAACCCATATACTCTGACTTACTGTATAAAATGTCTAGTTTCAGTCAGGTTAAACAATGTTAAAACTCTTCTGAAAACTGACCCGGGACCAGGGGTTAAGATCAGCTTGATCTTCTGTACAGCAGGTTAGTTTTAGGGCATAACATTGGCATAGAAACAGATACATATAGCCTAATCAGCAAATGGATTTTGATTGAAATACTAATTAGGTGCAATCTTGGTTTTGAAAATAAAAAATTCTCTTTCTTACTTTATCTCTCATTAATGAAGAAGGCAAGAGAGAGAGACGCAATTTGCTTAATAAATATTCGTTTTTCAAAGGAAATAAACCCAAGTGAAGTAATCTTTCTTTCAAATTTTTCCATAACCAAAAACAGTGTGAACACAGAAGCCAATGACCTCCTCTGTGAATATGTATGATGGTTTACAACAAGATACTTAGCCAATTATTGGTTAGACATGTAATCTTTCAGTGTAGTATCAATGTGGTTGATCATTAGTAATACGCAGGATTGCCCTAAACCTATTAGCACCAAGCGGATGTGATGCAGTGAGACTTTCTTCAACATAATATGTATTGTTAGTAGATGTTTAGCCCTGCAGAAAGTGATTATGATTATCCTAATTTAACTTTTAGAATATGACAACTAAGATGCCCTCGTTACCATACAGGATGTGATAAAAACACCATAAAGTTCAATAAGGTCTGCTGAGTTACACAGTTAAGGTCTCTGTAGGAATGTTAATGATTTTATTGTCTTATTAAAGGTACTTCTTGTTCTACTGGGACACATAACAAAGACCTGAAAGTTGTTTCTGTCTTTAAAAAGTCTGCTGCTGCTTTGGTTGTCTTTACACAGATTACACTGCTCTTATCTCCCGCTACTACTGTTGTACAAAGTTTCTCTGATGTACACCTTAGATACCCTTCGCTCTGTGTAAAGTGCCAGCCGCCTTGTTATGTGGGTAAAGTTAATAGGAAATAGATAAATTACAGTCTGTCTGCAGCTCTGTTCTCTCCGGTGACAAGTTAATGACTCAAGTCTCAGTTTCTAGTTCCCAAAGAAATTGATTGATTTTATTAATAACAATAAATGGGGCAATTTGTTGTCTAACACCAAAACCTTTTCACACAATCTCAGAGGAAGTGAGGATTTTGGTAAAAGCTAGATTTTAGTTTGAAAGTTAAGATGTGTTGGGTTAAATGTAAATGAAAGAAAGATGATTTAAGATACAACAAAAGTCACATTTAGTGAGTTTTCCACCGCAGGAGTGTAAATTTGACCAGTTTGAGACACAGATACTGATGTTACACTTTTGTCTAAATTAAATTTAAATTAAAAATCTAAGCCCAAAAATATCAAAGAACATTTTTGTGAAAGCCATTTTTTAATAAATAACATCAGCACAGTATCAACAGGAACATGCACACACACAAAAGTGTACGTCTTGCCACCCTTGGGTGACAATTCCTTGGCGTACATTTTTCTGGCACTTTCACATGTCTCCATTTAAAATCTATCAACCATTAACGACAAATAATAACAAGAAGCAAAAACAGTTTGTCCAGTACATAGGCCATCATTCTGGTTGTGAAAGCGGACGGTGCACTGGAGCGTGGCCTGAAACACGCTCTGCCAATTATGCTTTCACACAGATAGGTGACACAGGTTGTGCAACCAGGGACAGGGACTATCCGGTGATGGGACAGTCCACCTGCAGTCCTATCGGGCACGGGCCACTGCAACCGACAATGGTCAATGGTAAATGAACTGTATAGCGCCTTTCTATAGTCTTCTGACCACTACACTAGTGGTATATAAATATACTGTGTACTATACAAGTCACATTCACCCATTCACACACATTCATACACTGATGGCAGAGGCAAGGTGCCAGTTGCTCCTCAGAAAGAAACTAATCATTCACACATACTCACACACAGATGGCACAGCCATTAGGTGCAAGTTCAGTATAGTGATCCAGCTGCGTTAGTGTCCAAAAATGATATATAACACATCAGTGAGCCACACTGTTGCTAAGATAAACTTGGGTATTATAGTTTTTTCTAAGTAAATCCCACATACACCGTCCTGCTGAGGTAAATACTCGCTAGAAGCATAAAAAGGGAATTAATGTGAATTAATCTGCAGCTGAAAATAATCCCCAAGAAATACAATATTTACTCCTGTTTGAGTAATGTTTTGTTAAAAAAAATGCCAAGCTGTTTTAGAAAATAATTTTACTAAAATATGAAAGTTAATATGTGTGACCCCATCTTCAATAAAAAAAACAATCAGCTTCAGGCTGACTGAAACAGATAGGATAGGCAATCCGCAAGTATTGTGAGATTTAGTCGTTGTCTGTCCTCTGCCGCAAAGCTGGCCGAAGTTCTTAGTCTCAATGTAAGGGGTTGCAAAATGATTAACAAGATAGGAAAGAAGAAGAAGCTTTTCTCAAATCTTCGCTTTTTGTTGATTATATACAGGATATTTTATTTTATTCAGACCTCTAAAAACAATGAAAACTGCTCACATCTCAAGGCCATATGCAACCTGGGGTCAGGGGTTACAAGTGGGCATTGCTTGGTGTCAAAGGGTCGCAAGACAAAAAGACTGGAAACCAGTGTTCTATGTGAACTGAGTCTAAAAGCGGGCACCAAAATAAACTGAATAAACTCTTTTTGGCTTTATGTGTTCATTATTGTCAAATCTAAGTTTTGTAATCATACCTACCAGTGCTTCCCAAATGCCAAAATAATTCCTTTAATCTAACATTTGTGGATTTCAGGATGATTCGTTAAAATGAAGAGTGTATCTTGTCACACCTGTTGTGCTGAGGGGCTCAAAAAGTAAAAAATCTGAATACTGATATGGAGGAAAATATAACTATTTATGTGCTTTGTTTGTCTTAGTGCTTTTTACGGATCTCTCTTTAATGATCAAATCAGTAATGTGTCAAATTAATCTAGGAAACCCTCACACTAAAAGAAAGCTATTTAATCTCTTATTTGTATCTACAACACACTGATTTAACAGTTTAAGGTTTTTTCTTTATTCATTTATTCTTCAGGGACACACTGTGAGTACTGATGTTGTCTCAAGGTGTGCTTGGCTGCCTTTGGTGTCTCCGCTCACATCTCATGACCTCTCACTCCTTACCCCACGGCGTGGTCGGTGCACTGACTGGAACATTTGGAAAGTGAGCATGTATCGTTCCACAGACTGAGCTGGACCTTACCCTCAACCTGAACTCTCCGACCGCTCATCTCCTCTCCTCAGAGACCAGAGATGACTGTTATCAGATCCTGCTGTTGTCTGTATCTGAGTGAACATGCAGACATGTACAAGTCCTTCATTTTGTCCATAAACTTTGACTTAATGGAATAGTTTCTTTCCAAAGGTAACATAATCCACCTACTAGCACCTCTAAAACTCACTAATTAACACTTTGTACTACGTTTGTTTAATCTGTACATACCAAAGTGTATAAATGACATGTTGTGGGTTTACGACTATTTCTTGGCCGGGCGCAGAAACTAACTCCCTGGAGTCTCCGTTGGTTGCGTGTGTAG